ATATTGTCATTCTTGGTGATGCTACAAGACCCTGAATGAGTGACAGTAGTAGTGTCTCCATTAGGTAGATAAACTTGATTAAGAGTTATAGAAGAGAGAAGCTTCTTTTGTACTAGCATGTTTGGGTTGTAGGTCATATGATTTGTTGCCCCCGGAATCCACAATCCAATTATGATCCCCTACTGTGAGATTAATAGTATTACCTACTGTGTTAGTTGAGGAGGAACTCTGAATTAAGTTAGCACTGCCAGAGTTGCTAGAAGCCATATCTGATGTCCCCTGCAGGTTAGACTTTCCAAGCATATTCAAGATCTGATGATATTGTTCATGGATGACTTCCATACCTTTGCTATAGTCCATATTCCCTGTGTAATTAGGTGCATGATCCTGATATCTCACTGGATTATTAGCAACATTATGAGCTGTGTGAAAATGACCACCACTTCCACTTCTCTCAAGAGGAAAGTTACCACCACCTCTCTCAGCATGAAAATTACCATTACCACCACTTCTCTCACTATGATAGTTCCCTTTATCTGACTGATTGTTAATCTGATTCTCTCTTCTTCTCTTCTCAAAATCAGGAGGATACCCAACTAATCGAAAACATATTGTCTTAGTGTGACCTTTACGCTTGCAGTGATCACAGACAACATTAGGGTCGTAACTATAAGGAGAGAAAGGTTTCTTCAATCTATTCAAAGGATTAGAACCAGTTCTGATAGAGGCAAGTGCATTCATCTCAGGTTGATTTCAGACTTGTGAGATAGATTTTTGACTTTCATGTTCAATTAACATAGAGTAAGCTTTGTTTAGTGTTGGCAAAGGGATCATCATAAGGATCTGACCTCTAGCCTGTTCATATGTATCATTCAATCCCATAAGGAACTGTGACAACTTCTGATTATCCATAAACAAGACAAAATCTCTTGATTTAGCACAGTCACATCCAGGCACAAAGGTGATGCTGTCAAATTCTACCCAAAGATCTCTCAAACGAGCAAAATACACAGAGATTGAATTGGTACCTTGACTTGCTAAAGCGATTTCTTTGTGCAACTGAAAGATCTGAGATCCATCTACTTTGTCATACCTTTCCTTGAGATCACTCCATACAACTGCTGCATTTGTTGAGTAAACAATTCTTCCAAGAAGTTCCTTGGATACACAGTTCATGATCCATGAGAGTACAATTGCGTTACATCGTTCCCATAGAGCAGTGAGATTAGGGCCATAGGCTTTCTTCAAGCATGTTCCTTCAATGAATCCAAGCTTGTTCCGACCTAAAGTTGCAATTCTCATTGCAGGACTCCATACCGAGAAGTTTTCTGCTCCCGTCAGTTGAATTGAGATTAGTGTAGCCCCTAAATTGTCAATCGAACTCAGAAACAGAGGATGATTGTGTCCAAGGTTCTCAGGAAACTCATTATCGACAGTCGCCATGGCTATTTTCCACAAGCTTCAGAGATCGAGATGCTCTGATACCATGTTAGATTTCTCCATGTTAGCTAATTCTACAGAGAAGATGAAGTTTACTGTGAAATTCTCATTCAATCTCAATGCTCAACAATGTGACTTATAGGTTGTTATATATAGTGCCATCTAACTAACTTGTCTAACTAACTTTATAACAAACTATTAACTAACTCTACTAACTTCTATTTTGTACACGTCAATTCTAACTTCTTCTAAGTAATTCTTTCTCCAATAATTATAGATGTCCCAATTTATGTTATAGATATAAAAAACTAAATTACAATATGGTGGTAAAAAGGTAGTTTTAACTTTTTTTCTCCTTTTTCATTCACACTTTTTTTTTACACTAAAGAATGAAAGAAAAAATGAAATAAAAATAAGAAACTCAAATAATAATAATAATCAAAGAAGTCAAAAAAATAATTTTTGTGTGAAAAATCAAATACATAATATTTTAAATATTAAAAATCAAAAACATTAATTTAAAATTATTATTTATCACTTTTGTAGCGGTAGGGGTATGTGTGAGTCAATTTTGTAATGATAGATTTATATATGATCCACAAATAGAATAATAATATTTTAATTCACATAATCTAAATTTTTTGGTGCGAGAGCAAATATAAATTACTCCCTCTGTCCCAATTCATGGGGCACTTTTCATTTTTTGTGAGTCAAACAGTTTAAGTTTGACCGGAAATTTATGCATGGAATCTTCAATTTTTTTGAAATGAAATTTATAAATTTGTAAACTACGTAAAAAGTACTATAATTCACAATAATTTATAATTCAAAATTTTTAAAAGATCTATGAAAAATTTACGGTCAAAGATAGATTTGTTTGAACCTTGAAATCCGGAAAGTGCCACATAAAATGGGACGGAGGGAGTATTAATTTTGAATCTATTAAATTTAAAATATTACTCTCTCCAAAGTGGCGGAGCCAGGATTTTCAATATGGGGGTTCAAAATCTATAGAAATAGACATATGAAGCAGCCAAAGAGGATTCGACATCTACTATATATATATATATATATATAAAATTATTTCAACCATGTATAAATAATATAATTTTCGGCCGAAGGAGGTTCGGATGAACTCCTGTACAAAGTGGCTCCACCCCTGTGACTCCAATCTGTATTAAGTAATATTTTTAGCTTAAACCGATTCAGAAGAGAAGGTGTGAAACCTAAAAGGAGGAGGAAGACTCCACTTCAATTTAACGTTCTAAAATAATAATATTGACAAGTACTTACACATCTTCTACGTAATTTCCCAATTTCTTGTATTAAGTGAACATATTCTACACTTAGTCATGCTATTCATACTTTGCTTCTACACTACACCCCTCACTTTTTGATTCTTCATAAATACCTTGATTATTTCACAATCTTATTATACCAAAACCCATCATTGGCTCATCAAATTCATCATCTATTATTCTATCCCCCAAAAAATATCAAGTCAAGAATTCTATTGATTTGAGTAATTCATCTATACGAAGACAGATTTAATCTCAAAGGTCAATTGAATATTTGATTGCTGGTGCATTCAAGTTATTTTGATATGAAAGTGGGCAATTACTTATTCTCACTCAAGAGGCTAAACAAGAATAATGATGATGATGATAATTGTAGGAATTATAAGGCATCATCATTGAGGTTGAGATTCAAAAATTCGTGTTTGAGGAAAAAGAAGAGAATATACAAATTGCGCAATTGGTTCATTGACTCGATTTTATTCAAGATTGTCTCTATTTTTGAAGTAATTGTTATCGTTTCTACCTTAGCTTTCTTCTTATTCTCTTATGGTTTTCGTATTTGATTCTTATTTATATTTTTATATATATTCTCTGTAAACCAAGGGTTCATTATTATTGGACAAAAGTTGATATCTAATGGGGTGTAAGGTTCATTTGATTTATTTAGTTTTCTTTATCCATCTCTTATCTATATATATATATATATGCAATGTTGTGAAAATGTGATGTATAGAAATATGTAGGGATAAGGCAAGTAATCCTTGAATTTAATCGAAATCTCAGCGACATATCTTAACTTAACTAAGGTTTTATTATTCTCTTAAACTATTTTAAAATGGAATAAATACACTCAAAAAGCTGACGTGGCATAGAGAGTTTGTACACTCTCTTGAAGGCAATTGATGAGTGAATAAATTGGACACATGAGTTATACTGCAATAGGACCCTAGTTAACTTAAAATATGTCGCTGGAATTTCGGTCATAGTTCAGAGAGGTACTTATGTCTTATCTCAAATATGTACTTTTTAGCATTTCCAACATAGAAATTCTTTTGTTATGTATTTTTGGGTTTTATTTTACTTGGCATTGAATTAATTTTTTTAATGTTACATTTTAGTAAATCAGGAGGTATTTATTTATTTTCTTATGATATTATCGTTATTATTAAATCTTAAATTATTATATAATGAAATGGATGAGTGGACATATAAGACTAAACATGAAGATATTTGGGAAAGGTGAGAATGACCTCCATGACGGACAAGTGAGGAAGATGAGATTGAGATGGTTCAGATATGTGAAGAGGAGATGCACAAGTGCCCGGTGAGGAGGTGCAAGAGATTGACTATGGTGGATAATGATGAGGCTAGGGGTAGGCCTAAGAAGTATTGAGGAGAGGTGATTAGTCATGACCTGACACACCTGCAGCTTATCGAGGACAAGATCCTAGATAGGAGGATAGGGAGATCAAATATTATGATATAAAGTTATTAGGTATAAGTCGAGCGTTGTCACTACAACCAGTAATAAATATGTTATTAGGACAAGATTCACAAAGAGTGTTAAAACCAGTATTAGTTAATTGTCATTGGATCCAATGTAGCTATAGATTTTAGGAACATTTACAAAAGAGTGTTAAGTGCCTCTAAAAAAATATGTTTTTGTGGTAATACGTTATTGTCGTTAACTAATTGAAGCTAACGATAGTGTGTCTACTTTTCCTTATCTGCATTGTTATTATTACTCTCCTACTATCTTTATCTTGAATTTTATTATCACTTATTTTTACTTTTCTTCAGTTAATGTATTATTTGATATTGCTATTGTCTTTTCTTTTCATACCACTTAACTTTGATAAGTTTTAATTGAATCGAGGGTCTATCGAAAAGTGAAATTGTTTTGTATGAATTAATGTGTAGATAATGTCCATTAGTTTCTAATTAAAACCTTTAGTGCTGAAATGCCTATCTCACATATATGGTGGATTCTACTTCTTCTCAATGCCAAGTTAGTGGAAATTGTTCAAATTTCACTAGTATGATAGTGTTACATACTTTTGCTAGGTTAACACCAATAGTAATATGTCACAAGTTTTAGTTTAACTTTTAGTTTCTTGAATTTTTATGTCACAAGTTTAATAGTGTAAGAGAATATTTAGCTCACATTGTTATTACACTTACCTGAAAATGAAGCAAACTATCATCATTCAACCCCACTTAAATTAATCTTTTCCAGGTGAAAACCAATACATCATTTAGGAACTTTTGAATGTGAAGTTACAACCTTTTAAGTGTTTGTCATCAGCCTAAGCTAAGACTTTGTGTTGTTTAGACTCGTGGCATATGTTCCGTTCGCCTTCTAAAACTGGAGAACACATCCCCTGATTCACTATCCGCGCGTTGCATGTCCAAGTCCATGTCCATCCCAATGCCTGCTATCCTCTCACTCATTGATCCATAAGAATTTACTGAACCATCTCCAATTGGCTTAACATACTGTTGCATCACCAGCACGGAGAATGTGGAGTCGAATTCTGATGTCACTAAAAGATCACCAATAGCCCCGAGCTCAGGACAGTCACACCAATCGACTAGGCCAGCCGTTAGTGGTGACACCACGCCTCGGCCTTTTCCTACGATGTAGAGATCATAGTTATGCTGATCCATTAGTTTTATGGCCTTGACAGCTTCTTCCACATCATTCAGCAACAGTTCTATGTATGTTACTGATTTGTCATTGGCTGTGCTGATCTTGAACCTGTTTAAGAACTCGTCGTCCATCAATTTTTCACTCTCTTTGTCAATCTGGACATTCACATGACTTTCATCAGCAAATTCTGTTTGCTCTATATCAGAAGCGCCTTCGTCTGGAATGAACTTTACAACAGTTAGCCGTGTATCTGGACGATCAACCATTCTCAAAGCGTAAGCCAGAGCTTCCCTGTCATCAGCACCTCCAAAAAAGAGGACAACGATATTTTTTGCATAGTCACTGATCTCAGAGAGGCCACGATCGATGAGGATTCCCACAGAACAAGGGGCATTAGCTAGCACACCTTCGTTGACAGCCCGAATTTCAGGGTTGACATCCTCCATTTCACCCTCGATACCTCGTTGTTTGTGAAAAGGTAGAATGATGAAAGCTACACGCTTGTCTTTGGCAATGTTGCACATATCTTCATCCATGGTGGACAAAGCAGACCTTGCTGTGAGTACTTGTACCATCACTCCATCTGATCGTAGCTCATAGTTGTCGAAAGCAGTGATGATCTGTCTTGTTTGTGTCTCCTCGTGTCCAAGACTTCGTGAGCCTCGTTTCCCTGAGTTGTGTACTTCTAGCATAGATGATCCACGCCCGACTAATTCTACTACTTGGAGAGCAAAGACAGTTATTGGGGATGCTGATGTAGAATGTGACGAGCCAAGAAGGTTGATGACTGAAGGGATGTCATGTGTGCCATGGATGCAAGCAAGGACCCGAAGCTCCTCCTCCATTCTTGCCTTCTGTATAGTCCTTCGTTTATGGGGAGCAATTTCCTGCGAGGGACGGTGGAGCATAGTCATAGGTGTGACTGTCGCCGTCATCACCAAAATGCCAGCCACCATAAGGGAGTACAATTGTGTGCTCAAAACCTGGCCAAGATTTTTACAAAATACAAAATGGTTAGTCGAAAATCCATATCCAGTAAAAGCAAATACAGATTGGTAAGAAAATCAACCTGTTGTGCCTGACCAGCTTCGATAATGATCAAGGCCATGATACTTTTGGTGTTGCTAAGTACTCCAACAGCCAGGGCCTCCTTAATAGTCATTTCAGAGAAGAAAGTGGCAGCTATTGAGCTCAAGATTTTGGCTGAAACAAATAAAAGTATGTAGCCAACAATTTCGTAAATGCTGCCCATTTGTCCGAAATTGGTTCTGAGTCCACAAACAACAAAGAAAGTTGGCATAAAAATGCCCGTCACAAAGTCATCAAGCTTATCGATAATTTCTGCTTGAAGCACTTGGTTAGGTATACTAAGTCCAAAGAGAAAAGCTCCAATAATAGGATGTGTCCCTAAAGCATCAGTTATAACTCCAGAAATAGCCATTCCAGCAAGGATTGAACATATAAAGAACTCACTATACCCTTGTCCTTCTGGCATTTTTCTAATGATCCAGCCCATGGCACGACGGAGATAAAAGACACAGAACAAGGCGTAAGCAATCGTGCAAATTAAAGCCCAATGTATATTAGCTGTACTCCCTGTAACAACATATCCTAGTGTAAGAATAAACCATGCACCAATATCATTGATTACAGCTGAAGACATAGCCATTTTCCCTATGTCAGTTTGGAGGATCTTTTGTTTATCAAGTATCTTAGACAGGACAGAGAACCCTGTTATAGTAAGAGCACCACCATAGAAAATGAAGCCTCTAACTTCTTCATCGCGAGTAAGTGAGAAATATAATATTGTTCCCATGACAAAAGGGATGATGATACCGATAATAGCAACATTTCTAGCCTTTATTCCAATTCGAAGAACAGATTTCATATCCATCTGCAATCCCACTAGAAACCCATAGAACACAAGGGCTACATGAGCCATTGTCTCAATAACATGGAAGTTGTAGTTTGGGAAAAGCAGCCTCCTGAACCTCATGATCCTTCCAAGTGCTGTAGGACCTAAAAGTATGCCACTCTACAAAACAAAATCATCTTTCTTCTTTAAACCTTTTTTTTGTATAAATGTCCAAATCAATGCATAATATCTAAACAGACACTCAAACTTAGCCTCAACTCGTCATGTATAAATTGAAGTGTTTGGATGTGCACTCTCCAAGTTAGAACGCTTACTTACCAACTAAGGTCAAGTTTGAGTGTTTGTCTATGTATTATGTCAAAATTTTATTCCTAAGTACACAAAACAAGAACATGAGAATTAAACAACATTTTCTCTGGAGTGTAATGCAATGCTTAGGCTATAGTTTCCTTTAAAAAGCTACAATATCGCTTGAAATGCCACATTTTAAAAATGTATCTCAAATTCCACATCTTAAGAGTGTATTTGATACGATGAAAGATTCAGATAGTTATATAGAAAATTACTGCACGTAGAAAGTTAAAATTAAAGAGTTGTCAAAAAAAAGAAGGAAATAGACAACTTTTTTTAAACATGCTAAAAAAGAAAGTAAAACAAACAAAATGACACGAAGGAAGTATAAGTTATGAGTCAATGTAATATACTATATTATGCAGAGCAGAAGATAAAAATAACTAATCATTACGTTATTAATAAATGCATAACTCTAATCAACGAACATACAGATCGAAATAAGAAAATTTCAAAGAATGTACTTACAATAATCTCAGCAACAAAAGGAGGTTGCCTGGTGGGTTTTAAGACAAAGGTGACAAAACGAGTGATCAAGATAGCTAATGAAACTTGAATAAAGAAAAGAGGGATAATTGGTGTCAAAGGATCTGGTCCTTCCCAAACTCCATTAAATCTATAAATTGTTTGTGCATAACATAGAACTTTTTCATTTAATTTTCCAACATCAATCAATGGCTCTGGATCTGCCATTTTTTCCTTTCTAATGTTCAACAACAACAACAATAACGACAACAAAAAGATTTTTTCCCTCTTAAATCACAAAATTTGTACAATCAAAATTTGTACATTATTTTTCTTGAACACCCTTTTTTTGTTTTGTCTAGTCTTGTGCCAGGGCAGGGAACAACCCTGGCTACAACCCTATTTTTGATATTTAGCCACCACAACAAATGGAGATATGTATAAAATGGAACATGAGTAAAACTAAAGATATGGTTATCACCATGTGAAAAATAGTAAAAACTTGTTTTTTTACCAACAAAGCTTTGTTCAAAGTGAATGGTTTTCCGCTCAATTTGGAAGCTTAAAACATTTTTTTTATAAAAAAATTGAGGTTGTTATTTGACAAAAAAATAAAAAAAATAAACATGAATTGTTGTGGGATTCATCTGGTGCCATCTGTCACATAATGATCTAAGGGTCAATAATTATTCAATCAAAACAACCTCTTAAATCATAGTTAAGCTACAGTATCTTTTTGGCTTACTACCAAATTCTCAAGATAGAAAATAAATCCGGGAAGGACGCTGAAATTTTTTCTGCTAATTCCAAAATCCCAAAAATTTGTTGAGGCAAACTATCTTTTGCTGGAAATTTTTTTTCCTTACCATGGATAATATATGTCCAAGAGAAAAAAGATACAAGACTCAACAAATAGAGAAGATTAAATCATTTATTAGTGACAACAACAGAAGATCAAAAAGAACAATCTAGTGGCAGTTTATTGTCATCATATTGACAATTGATAATTTAATTGAGGTTTGGTTATTGTTCCTTGAGGCAATAACATAGAGTTCTTTTGGTGTATTTGGCTTGAATTTTGTAATTACAAATCTATAATTTAATGCAAGTTTGTTGTGTTGCTTAGTTGAAGTTATTTGCACTTTGTAGTTGAGAAACAATAATGGAGGAAACAATAATTTTCCTTTCTTGGTTAACGGAGAAAAACATGATAACAGGGGATGTGATCATTATGAACATACTTACTTAGTTACTATATAGTTTTTCATCTCGTATTAACGAACACCTATATAATATTATGAAGAACTAGAGTAACGAAAAAAATCTCTTACTGATCTTTCTTAACCGTCTGATAGCAAGAAACAAGAACAAAGGTATAATATAATTTAGTTGTAGAAATTTCTTGTGGTAGATTTCATGAAAAACGAAGAGGGAAACAATATTTATATTGTAATGCACTTTAATTTTGTTAAGAAGTTGAATATATAAAGAAATGTGAGAAGATTTATTAAATAATATGAAAATAATAGAGTAATTAATTTGAAAGAAATTGAGTTTGGGATGGAAATTAATTGATTTTTTGGAAAGAACGTAAAAAAAAAAGCTAAGAAATTCAAGATACCATTAGTTTTTGTCGTTGGATAAAGAAAACAGAGCAGCAATTGAGCAAAGATCCTCTCCTATATACATGGCGCTAATATGGAATAAAAAGAAATTAAAAAAGGATATTGTAGCTTAACCATGATTTAAGAGGTTGTTTTGATTGGATAATTATTGACCCTTAGATCATTATGTGATAGATGGCACCAGATAAAAGGTGCACTAATCCTAGATAAGAATGGACAGATTTTAAATATTTGTATATAGTTAGAGATAAGTGTCAAAAACACACCTAAACTATCCCATTTTTTGAATTTCATATCTAAACTATTGAAAGTGTGAGTTTCATACCTAAACTAGGGGGAGATGAAATAAAAAAAATTAAATACTTTTAGAAAATAAATTTTAACAAAAAAACTTTTAAAATGGGCGGGGGTATACGGTGAGAGGAATTGATGTGGAGTAAGAAAAATATTTTACATTTTATTTTATAAAAAAATATTTTTTACTTGTCGCCGCAAGACTTTTGTTAAAATAATTTTTTTATTTATGTTATATTCGGTACACAAGTAAAAGAAAATCCCTAAAAATATATGTACATATCTAACACAAAACGAGAAAAATAAAAAAAATTAAGAGCGGAGGGTTAAATAGAATGGGGTAGAATTTTTATTTTTTTAAAAATAAAATAATATCAAAAAAACAATTGGGAGAATGAGTGGGTGGTTTGGGGGTGGGGGGAGAGGGAGGAGGTGGTGGAGTGGGGTAAGAAAAATAATTTAAATTTTATTTTTTTGGGATAGTAATACTTTAATCTTTAATTAATATTAATAGTTTATTATTTAATTTTTGTCAAGATGAAATATCTTATCCATGTGTCAATGTTTTTTCAAATAAAAGAGAGAGTACATCACACACACCACACTGAGGTGTGTTTCTCAAACTAATAAGTGATAGTTTATGTATGAAACTCACACTCTCAATAGTTAAGGCATGAAACTAAAAAAAAGGAATAATTTAAGTGTGTTTTTTACATTTATCTCTTATAGTTACTGTAGATAGAGATAAGTACTCTTTTAGTTCTATTAGGACTCTCAGTCCTTCTCCTATCTTAGTATTTAAATATTGAATATATCATTGATAAATTATCAATTCAATCAAAACTCTTTCTCACTGGACCAATTGGATGCTACATTCACTGAATGGGAGCCGAATCCATTGTTGTCAAATCCAACATACAAATATATATATATGTGCGTCAAGCTAACTAATATTAACTTCTTAAAATATTAGAATAAATGGAAGAATGCATGTTTAGCTTATACAACACTAATTATTATTGCAAAGCACAAATTATACTGAAAATTGCTATTGGATGAAGTTTTGAAAGGATATTCTTGATTCAAGAGAGAACAAAATGTTTATTAGCAATATTGCTTTCTATCGTTATAACGTTTATTTCAATCATTACTATAGTTTATAGTTGTACAAATATTCTAAAAAATATTATATAATCTTATTTGTTATAAAACATAAGCTTAGAACAATATAATATAAAGAGAAAGAAGACAAAATATGTAGATAAAGAAGATGACTTTTCTTTTATTCAAGTGCGTCCTTCAAATGGTGAATGATATCTCTATTTATAGTATTGAGATATCACTCCCAAAGGTCACCAAACTAGTAGATACATAGTTATCCAAAAAAGTTCTTATCACCTTGAAAGTATACATACATGAATTCAATTAATTCTTGAATAAATCAAATAGACAATCAACAATTCAATGGATTTATAACATTATGTAGTTTTTCTAATATATCAAATATTCAGCTTAACCATTTTCTTATTTTATAATATTTCAACAACTCGGTTTCAATGTGAACATGCACAATATCGTTTATGGTTACAATCTTGAGAAAATGACCAAAATGGTTCTTGATTTATAAGTAATGCTTTATCTTAGTCCTTAATATATTTCACTCGATTGAAATGGTCCTTAACATATAATAAAGGTGTTCATTTTGGTCCTTAATATATTTTACTTGATTGAAATGATCCTTATTTAATAACAAAAATGGGTTCATTTTAATCCTTTATCTTAAACTTAACAGATTTATCAAAATAAAAGTGTTAAATTTAACTGTAGACCCCACGTGGCTAACAAAATCCACCATTATTGTCTTCTTTGTTAGCTCCATATATAAAAAAAAACTCCATGAATTTAACACCATTATATTTACTTTCTCTAACAAAATTTACTATTTTCTCTTGCTTAAAACATAAATGGGTATTAGGTCAGTGAAATAATATTTTAGGAAAGAGAAAATAGTAAATTTTGTCGGAGAAAATTGAGAAAATGGTGTTACATTTTATGGAGTTCTTTCTTTGGAGCTAACAAGAAGACAACAATAGTTGATTTTGTTAACCACGTAGGGTTCATAGTTACATTTAATACTTTTATTTTGATAAATCTATTAAGTTTAGGGTAATAGACCAAAATGAACACCTTTTATTATACATTAACGATCATTTCAATCAAGTGAAATATATTAAGGATCAAAATGAGCACCTTTGTTATAGTTATATTAAGGACCATTTCAATCTAATGAAATATATTAAGGACTAGAATAAAATATTACCCATACATTAAGGACCATTTTCTCTTAAAATCTTCATGTCATAAAGTTTGTCTGTTGTCTTGAAGAAATGTATTCTTCGTTTTATTACATATGCATATATATTAAAAAGTTGTTATCGATAAAAATATACACTTACAAAACTCTGCATATGGCGGATAGGACACTCTATTCTCTCTCCTACCCTCCATGCACAACCCTAGTAGTCAGCTTGAAACCTAGTTTTCATTTCCACTCCGACCACTAATCAGTATGCTCCGACGGCTCATCAGCTTATTGCTCTAGCCTCTATATCTCAATTACCTATTCTAATCCATCTGAAATCTTCAGAAAAAATCATTACCCAACCTAGCCCTTCTTTTCCTAACAACATCAATACCCTCATCCCTCTCATCAATCTAATAACGGTTAGCAGATCCCTAGGACTCTTATCATTTGTAAGACTCTTTTTATTCAGACTTTTATATTAATTTTATACTTATCAACTTTTTTTTATCTTTAGGATTGTAGTTACATAGATTTTTTCTATTACCTAGATTTTCTCTAAGTTGATATTTTATTTTCAGTAGTGTATATAATACACTGGCTATATAAGGATCAATATAGTAATCAATAAACATCAGCTCATCTACTGCCAATCTTTTTCTTCTCTTTATGGTAACCAGAGCTATATTGCTTTAAGAAGTTTGATTTTTTTCTCCTAGCCCACCCATCTCATGCCTAAATGGTCCCCAATACAAGTGTTTTCAATGTATCATGACCCAAGCCTACACCCTGGACGTGACCGACACTCGAGAACCATTAATGGCCCTCAAGAGAACCCTCATCCTGACTGACTACAAGCGGAAGACTAACTCAAGCATACATAAGCATCAAATTGAAAGAAATGTTTAAAAATAATTTACTGAATCTCAAAACTTTGCTGAATATACTGAATATGAAACATAAGTTTAAATAAAACATCAGAAAACTGAAAGACTTTTCAAAACTATCTATCTATGAAGCCTCTACTATACAAAGATGAGTGTTAGGACAAGACCCACGACTCCTCAAAAGAACTACTACTAACAACTCATAAAACTGAAGTCCTTCGAAAGCAAGGAAGTCTCACTCAAAAGCTGACGAGTGGATGAAGTGATCTCAACAGACTCATGTTGAGGATCCTAGGAACCTGCATCTACATCATTAAAAGATAAAAGTCGAATGAACTCAGTACATTGAATGTACAAGTATGTAATAC